CCTGGGCCATCCTCCTCATCTCAGACACACTTTAGCCCATTGCTGCAGTCACTGTGTCAGTCGTCTGGTTGGAGGTCTTCCACTTCTGTCACTGACTCTTCCTGCACCTTTCAAAGTATGAAGTCCCTCTCCAAGGAATAGCCTTTCCTGGCAACATGTCCAAAATATGTGAGATGAAGCTTTTACCACCTTGGCCACCAAGGAGCACTCTGGTTGAACTTTTTCCAGGACATAACTGTTCATTCTTTTGACAGTCCATGGAATATCCAGTACTCTGCTCCAATGCCACAATGCAAAAGCATCAATTCTTCTTCTGTCAGCTTTATTCATTGTCCAGCTATAAATTGCATAGGAAGTTATTGAAAAGACCATGGCCTGAATCAGGTACACCTTAGTCTTCAAACCAACATCACTATTATTCAATATTTTAAAGAGGTCCCTGACAACAGACTTGTCCAAAACAATGCATCCCCTAATCTCCTTACTTTTGGTACCAAGGATGTTGATTGTGGATCCAATAGTCTCAGTCTTTTCTCCGTCTATCATGATGTTGCTTATTGGCCCAGAAGACCTTTCTCTTCTTGATGTTGAGATTTAATTTATATTGAAGGCTGTAGGCTTTGATCTTCTGCAGGAAGCATTTCAGGTCTTCTCACTTTGACAAGCAAGGTTGCATAGCACAGGTTGTTGATGAATCTTCCTTCTAACTTGATGCCACATTTCTCGTCATAGAGTTTGAATTCATGAATTATTTGCTCAGCATACAAATTAAATAGGTACAGAGAAAGGATACAGTAATACATACCCTTCCCAGTTTTAAGCCATACAGTGTTCTTTTGTTCCATCTGGACGACAGTGATCCACACAGTCAAATGCCTTTGCATAGTCAATAAAACACAGATAGACATTCTTTGGGTATTCTCTGCTTTCAGGCAGAGATAGGACATATGACATCAGCAATATCTGTGGTGCCCTGGCCTCTTCTACACCCTGCTTGAACTTCTGGCAGTTCTCTGTCACCATACTGTTGCCAGTCAATATTTGGCTTGCATGTGATATTATTAATGATATTGTTCAATGGTTTTCATGTTCTGTTGGATCACCTTTCTTAGGAATGAGAACAAATAGGGCTCTCTTCACCTCATATACTTAAGACATGATGCTAGGAGAGGAAGACCCTCAACCAGGTGGATTGACACGGTGGCTGCTACAATGGGCTCTAGTGTGTCAGGAAGTGTGAGGATGGCACGGGACAGGACAGGGTTCAGATCTTTTGTTCATAGGGTCGCTATGAGTCGTACTCAACTTGATAGAACCTAACAACAACGACAGCAACAATAGGTAGGTGTTTTACCTCTAACAGCAAACCATAAAGACAGTCATGCTTACAAATAGCATGACACAGGACTCCCTTTTCTGGACCCAACTGAGGCCCATGGTGACGCATCAGATGGGGTCCTGGATGTGGGTGTTTGACCCAGATAACGGTTTAATTGGGTCTGCTGGTGCTGATGCTTAGGACGAGGCCTGAGGACTTCCAGAGCTGAAGGTCGCCACCACCCGGATGTGATGGGCCAGTCGTCGTAGATGCCTGTGAAGATCTGCTTACGGCCCACCCAGGCCTCAGAACCCAGCCAGCACCAGGCTGTGGCAGGGCTGCCTGGTGGAGAATGTAGAGAACTAGAAAAGTATCCATCTCACAAAAGGCATTTTGGCCAAAAAGCACGTCTGTGGGCAACCTTGGCCTTCCATCTGTGTCTGGATAAGCATGACTATTTATAGCTGGAATGGAACAGTGGCTGGCAAGCACTGGAGAAGAGCAGCTTCTTCCTTTGCTATTGTATGTTCAACTGGAGTTAGAACGTGGATAACTCAATCTGTTTGCACACCTTCCCGTTTCAGCCTCGGCCTACTAATGACCGTGGACTAATTGGAGCCTTGTGTGATTTTTGTACCTTCTCTTCCATATTACTGTGGCACAAACTTTTTCTTTTCCCCTGAGCCCTTTAATAATGTGTCTTTCTTTCTAAAACACATACCAAAGGTGCCTCTTCCAAGGAAGAGCCATGGTTATGGACAATATTTGACTTAAGATTGTTTATTATTGAGTATCGTTGAGTCAGAACGAACCTATAGCTGGCCCCTCTAGTGCGTTTTCAGAGGCAGTTAATCTCAGGGAAGGAGATTGCCCCTCCTTCTTCCACAGAGAAGCTGGTGGATTTGAACCATAGGCCTTCATGATTGCTGCACAGTTTCTTACCAATAGGCCATCAGAGCTCCTGACTGACAATATTGATCACAAGGGACTTTATTGCTTTGGTGCTGTGACTGAGAGACGCAGATAATTCTTTGAGTTTTAGATGTCTCTGCTAGGGAGGATAGAAGGAGAATTGACGCCTTTGAGCTGTGGTGCTGGAGAAGAGTATTGAATGTACCACGGACTGCCAAGAAAACAAACAGATTCATCCTAAAGAGGGTTAAACCAGGCTACTCCTTGGAGGCAAGGATTCTGGGGCTTCATCTGACATACTTTGGACATGTTGTAAGGAGAGACAGGTCCTTGGAGAGGGACATCATGCTTGGGAGGGTGGAGGGACAGCGCAGGAGGGGAAGACCCTCTATGAGGTGGATTGATTCAGTAACTGGGGTAATCAGGATGAGTGTGTCAGAGGCAATGCGATTGGCACAGGATAGAGCAGGGTTTAACAGGGTTGCTATGAATCGCAAACGACTCGACGGCACATAACAACAACAACTGCTTCATTAATGTCTTTGGCCCAAACCTGATGCGTGAATGAAAGAGCTTGAAGTAATTTGTATCAGAAAAATGTCTGGCTGTAACAGACAGGACACCTCATGATCGGAGATTTCGACAAGCGGGAATTTCTTTTTCTCCTAACAAGAGCTGCAGAGGGTGGAGTGTCTCAGCATCGTTCGGCTGATCTAATGCTGTCTGGCCTTGAGCTCTTTCATTCCCACCTTCATCCTCACTCATATTGACCATAGTTGCACATCTATGCTTAAGGCAGAAAGAAGTGGGGAATGGTGCCTCCCTTAACTCCTGCTGTTGTTGTTATTGTTGCTAAGTGCCGTCAAGTGGTAGACGACTCATAGAGACCCTGTGAACAAAAGACCTGAACACTTGTATCATTTTCATCATTTCTCCAAGTTCATAGGGTTTCTGGAGGTAAGCTATTGTAGAAGTGGATGCCACTCCTGCTTCCAAGCTTGTTTTAATCAGGGAGCTCCACCAAACACTGTCCACCGTGGGTAACCATTATCGCATTTTACACGTCAGTATCACAGTGTTCAGCATCACAGCAACCACGAGTTACCTCTGTACAGCAAATGGACAGACCAGTGCTATACCGATTAGAAGAATGTTTGACCCAAAACAATTAAAACCAGGCCTGAGGGCCGCAGATTAAAACCATTCACCTTTGGCTTGGTAGCATCATTTTCTGTCCACTAGGCCAGTTGAGCTCTCTCATTGTAGTTGTTGTTGTTGTTATTGTCATTGAGTCGTAGACGCCTCATAGAGACCCTGTGAACAAAAGACCTGAACACTTGTATAACTTTCATCGTTTCTCCACGTTCATGGAGTTTCCGGAGGCAAGCTATATTAGAAGTGGATGCCACTGCTTCCAAACTTGTTTTAATCAGGGAGCTCCACCCCTATTAGGAAAAGAAAAACTTCTCTAGAAACTCTAATATTAAGCTTCCTTTGGGGGTTCATTGGTCAAAACTATGCCCCACTACTACTTATTTACAAGGAGAGAGAGGAAGCAGCAAACGGTATGTATCTGTTAAGCCTTTATAGTAGATTAATGCAAAGGCTCCTAAGCTGAGAATACATGTATAAACTCTCCCAATAGTATTTCCTGAGAGACTTCAGAGAACCACTTTTTACTTAATTCTTTCCCTGAATAAATGATAAAGCTGAGCTCCAGAAATGGGCAGTAACTTGACCAAGGTCCCATGACTAGATGAGCTTAAAGCCAGATACAGAGCCCAAGGCTCCCGACTCCCAGTGCAGAAAGCTATCTGCTTGATACTGAGCCTCTTATAAAAGTGGTGGGGACTTTGGAGACTGATAATGGTAAAGACTGAACGTGATAAGCATAACTAAAAAAAAACCCCACTAAACAAGCCACTGCCACAGAGTTAATTAAACTCATAATGATCCTCCATTGGGTGGCTGAGGTTGTACGTCCTTATGGGAGGAGATTGCCCACCTTTCCTCAGCGGAGCAGCTGGTGGATTCAGACTGCGGACCTTTTGATTAGCGACCCTGTACTTTATACTCTCTGCTACCAGGTCCCTTAAACATAACGATGCCATTGTCTTGTACACAACAGTGTACTGTTGCTGTCGCTGTGTGCCATCAAGTCAGGACCGACCCATAGCTGAGCCTCCAGCGGATTTTCAGACAGTAAATCGCACAGGAGGAGACGGTCTGTACTTCTGTCACACAGCAGCTGGTGGATTCGAACTGCGTGCCTTTGGGAACGCAGCACAGCCCCTTACCACCAGCCCACCAGAGCTCCCTTGAAGAGTGTCTAAATAAGAAACAGTTTGTACACTACAAGAGAAAAGGAATCAGAAGCATCAAATGCACCACACTACTGCAATTTGACATCTAAGACTGGAGCTTTGTTGGGGAAATAGAGCATCATTTGGTGAATTAAATATTAGATATGAAACGATCAGCAGCATACAAAGTACATGATAGTTTCTCCTTAGCTCTTGTTCCGCTGCCCTTAAGAATCTGAAATACTTCACCGAGTCATGGGATACAGGCCAAGTCAAATCGGGCCTCTTCCGAGTTCTCGCCGAAGAGTTTGGTAGTTCGTCTTCTCATTCTGCCACACATTCTTGTTTGTGTTGCGTTATAATGGGATCACGCTCATGATGACAGCACCATGGTACTATACAATTCCTGTGTCCTTGTTAATGTGCTGTTCTTGTCTTCTGTCCCCTTCTGTTATCGGACCAAACAGAAGTATTCTGCTGTTTCTCTCTGCAACATCTCCACAGAAGTCCTCAAGGTCATCAACGCCACCGAGGAGTTGATAGCAGAGTCTACAGGACCCTGGGAGCTCCCACCGGTCCCTCTTGACAGGGCGAAGGGGACGTTTCCTCTTGGGACGGACCAAGTGAGACTGGATGAGCAGCTGACCTCCCTGGAAGAAAACGTAAGGAGGGGTGGGTGTGCCCTGTCTAGGATGGACGTGTGTGGAGATGCCGGGAAAGGTGTAGTTCATCACCTAGGATGCCAGGACACACGCTACCAAGAAAAATCATTGCCATTGCATTGGAACTGACTCATAGCTGGCCCTCCATTGTGTTGGGACCCACTCACACATAGCTGGCCCTTCATTGCATTGGAACTGACTCATAGCTGACCCTCCATTGTGTTGGGACCCACTCAGACATACCTGGCCCTTCATTGTGTTGGGACTGACTCATACATAGCTGACCCTCCATTCCACTGGGACAGACTCAGGGCTGACCCTCCATTCTGTTGGGACTGATTCATAGCTGACCCTCTAGTGTGTGGGGGGTGGGGGGAGTCTATAAATAGCACAGAACGAGATGGCCCAACTTTCTCCCTCAAAGCACCTGGTGGATTTGAACCATCGGAGAGGTTATCTTAGCAGGTTTACATTAGCAACCACCAAAGGGTGTTAGGATGTTTTTACCAGAAACAGACCCTGAGTTGAGGATCTAGATACACATAGTAGCATAACCAGTTAAGTCCTCAGCTACTAGTATACGTCATTAGTGGTTCAAACCTATCTAGAGGTTACCTATTACCTCCATAAGGTCACCACCTGGAAAACCCCAGGAACGGTTCTGCTCTGCAGACTTGGGGTCCCCAGGAGCTGGAAGCTACTCACTGGTACCCAGCAGCAGCGACAGATGCGCCCAGCAGATGCTTGATAGGAGAGACTCGGGGTGAGGGAAGAAACCAAGCTACAAAGGCATCCACATATAGCTTCAGCCTGATCCCATAAGTAGCGTGAGTCATATCTGAGTGTTGCTGACTTGAGGCAAGGGAACTGGCCTTCCTGCAGCCAGCAGACACTTCAGTCTCTGCAATGCAGGCAGTGCCTCCAGTATGCAGGGACAGCCTTAGGTGTGGATGTGAGCTTTGGGAACAAAAGTGGACTGCAGCTTGGTGAGGGGTGCAGTATGTAGAGTGGTGGAGAGGCGTAAGGGGATCCATGTTGCGGTGGAGGGAGACTTGAGAAGGATCATATAGAGAACTGTGATTGCACAAACTGGCCTGCCCTGCTTTGCTCACTCAAGATACCTGCACAGCTTTATCTGTGTTGTTTCCACTGAGTCACCCAGCTCCCACGTGCCCTTAGCAGCCAGAAGCCATGACCTCTCTCCTTAGGCCTCCGCATCCCAGAATTGGACAGTCACCCTGGGGACTGATCATTGCATTGCCTTGTGACCACATTTAGACCTCAGGTATGCCAGTGCCCATTTGTCCTCCCTCGTACTCCTGCCTTGTCCCCTCCCCACCTCCTGCCTCAAAGATGCTAACTAGTGTAGCTACTAAGTGCAGCTCATCAAGGGGAACCTCTAATGGCTAGTGTATTTAATGAATCTGAAGATTAAAATGCATCATTCAAGCCACGATCTTGTTAACGCCTCTGAAAGTTGGACCATGACTAAGGATGACAGTAGAAGAATCAATGCCTTTGAGCTGTGGTGTTGGAGAAGAGTACTGAACATGGACTTCCAAAAGGACAAACAGATACGTCTTGAAGAAGGTGCAGCCAAGGTGTTCCTTAGAGGGACGGATGATGAAACTGCATCTAACGTACTTTGGGCATGTTGTCAGGAGAGGCAAGTGCTGGAAAAAGACAGGCTTGGACGGGTGGAGGGTCAGCAGGAGAAAGGAAGACCCTCAAGGAGATGGAGGGACACAGTGGCTGGAGCAGTGGGCTCAAGTGTATCCGTGATTATGAGGATGGCACGGGATAGGGCAGGGTTCAGGCTGGCTTATCTGAGCGTCACTGTGAGTCATGGCCGATGTGATGGCAATTAGAATAGAGAACACATGGTCCGTACTTATTTCATGCCAAGGAGCCCCGATAGTGTAATTGGTCAAGCATTGAGCTGCGAACTGAAAGATCAGTGGTTCAAACTCACTAGCTGCTCCAAAGGAAAAAGATGAGGCAGCCGCCTCTTGTCAAGATTTGTAGCCTAAGGGAGCTCTGGTGACCTGGTCACAAGAAGCTGCACTGCAGTCCCAGAGGTATGAGGTTTGAATCCAACAGATTCTCTGCTAGAGAAAGAGGGGCAATCTCCTCCAGTACCAGTCAGATCCGAGTTGACGGTACACACAAAAAAAATAATAAAATAAATTTTTT